CTTTGAGGATTTTCGTCTCTGTTCACGTTTTGATAACGTAACTTACGGCGCCTGGTATGTTTACAAAATTTTTTTTGGTTCTTCTGTTGCTACTTGCCGGCTTGCTTGTTCCGAAATTTCACTTTCAATTATCGAAAAAAAGCTAGCAAGAAGTCTCAGTAATGGTCGAACACATGCAATACAATTTGGCAGATGGCGTGACAGCTTTTGCTCAGCTCTATGCTCTATACTCTTATAATGCACGCTCTTTCAAGCAATAACAGCACGCGTTATATCCGAACTTTATTATTAATAATGATAAAGAGAGGTCCAATATGATGTTTCTGAAAGGATGAAATGTGCTATTGGACCAAAAGCCATACAGAGCCGGCTATCCAGTCAGTTAACTGAGGTTTTTTTCATCTGATTATATTACGTATCATTTTTGGATTAGTGTTCCCTTTGAAGTAGAGTAAATATTTTCCACCTTTTTTTCTAGGGAAATTTATTGGAATTCTTGTCGAGAAGAGGCACAGGTACACTCCAGGAAGATGATCTTGTGGGACTTGCTGCGTAAGGAAATTGACCTCACTAAACATTTATTGAGAGGCTAGATTAATTTTTTTTTCATATTTACTATCTATGGTTACTCCAAATGTCACGAGCAAATGATTTGATTATAAGGCGTCTTTTCCTGTGTGGAGGATCAAATCAAGGGCTGATGTGTCCGCAACTGTACTAATAGTGTTTTGTTTGTTTATTTTTTGTTTTGTTTTTCTTCCCTTTTTTTGAATAAATGTCTCTTTTTGCGGAGAACAAAAGATTCTTTGCGGTGAGCAAAGTATCTGTTTATTCCTTATCAGAGATGAAAATATTAAGTGTTAGCTATATGTCTTGCTCTGAAAGCTTGCTCAAAACAAAAACAAAAAAACAAGCAAACAAAACCTATTTTGGGGAAGTGATTTATGTCAACTCAAAATTGCAGAACAAGAGAGACCACAAAGCGACCTTTATTCTGTATGCATTAACTCTTTCACTCCCAGATCTCATCAGTAATTCTCCTTACTATCTGCCATGCGATTCTTACGATATTAGTTTGGAGAATTAGGCATTGGATCGGCTAGAAATCCTCTAATTACCATTTTTCTTTATTCTCATCACTTATCTGCTTAATATCGCATTGACACTGTGAGGAGAAATTCTCTCTCAGTCACTCATGTCGGTGAAAGGGTTAAACGGCAAAAAAGTTACTCGTGAAAGTGGCCCAATGGCAAGTTTCAATTAAAATTATCTCTCAGTTTTTTTTGCATCAAAATTAAATTATAAAAACCTCCTGTTTCGCAGGGATGTAGCTGATGGTATGAGGTATTTACACTCCAAAGATGTGGTTCACAGGTAAAATTTCTCGCAACAAATGTTTAGAACACTGAGGCATGAAAAGATGACACATGATGACAAATTGTGGGGAGTTTGGATTTTTAGTTGAAAGGGAAATAAGAGACACAATCGAATCGTATACGTATTTTGATTGGTTCTCACTTGTGATCTTTTGGAGGACAGATGAAAAGGTGACGTCACCATTAACAGCATTTTCCCATGGTATCGTATAAAGCAAAAATATTCTGTGTTGTCGTGGTTCTAATGGATCACAGAAGACGCCAAAATGTGGTAAGAACATTAATGACACACTCAGATGCGCCTGTGTGCCACGTTTTCGTTCTTGCCACATTTTGACCTCATCTGTGATCTATAACTGGACAGACTTAGGGCAACATGAAATCTGTTTGTTGAATTGAACAGAAGTCCGGGAAATTAAACGAACCAAGTGCTTTTCAGGATTTATGAGCATAATTGATGTTTTGAAAACCTATCAAAACATCACAAGTGGCCTTCAACACCAAATTTTATTGATTTATTACACCCTCAACAAAACTCTCCTTACTAAAACTGTGTTGTCTTTGAATTGATCATTTAAGAAACTTAAAGTAGAAATGATGCAATACGCAAACGATATCTTCGAGAAGAGAAAGTGCTTAGAAACATTACGAATCATTTCACCAGTAATACAACCTACAGCCCAAATGATTAAAATTCTGAGCTAAAGAGTTTTTGTTTTGCTCAGAGTCAAATAAACTGGGATATTCTATCAATATTTGCAGCTCTTCGCATCCTAACTATCGCCTCTTTTTAATATTTATATATTTTTACTCCAGGGGGTTAATGGCGAGGAATATTCTAATCCACGAAGATGGAACAGCAAAAGTAGGGTTATTAATAGGTTATAAAACTTCCAAATATGAAAACAAGTATCTCGGGCATAGTTGGTTACAGCTTTTTCAGTCCTCCTTTATTTTGCATGATTGTGTATTGTCAGTTATAAGTCAGCTAACGTGGAGCTATACTGTTATATCAGATGAGAAAATAGCTTGACTTCCACAACAGCCATTTATTCTGTGATAGGATTAAGAGAGTGAAACATTCGAAATTAGGAGATCCTAGCAGCTAAGAACACTACTGGACTAGTAGTTGAAAATAGGACCTGAAAAAATTCAGGCCTGTACGGGATTTGAACCCATGACCTCTGCGATACCGGTGCAGCGCTCTACCAACGGAGCTATCAAGCCAACTGGATGGTTTATTTGGACCCAACAAATTGACCTGCTCCCAGTTGGCTTGTTAGCTCAGTTGGTAGAGCGCTGCACCAGTATCGCAGAGGTCATGGGTTCAAATCCCGTACGGGCCTGAATTTTTTCAGGTCCTATTTTCAACTACGAGTTCAGTAGTGTTCTTAGCTGCGAGGATCTCTTAATTTCGTTTCTTCACCGCAGTGCAAATATATGAATTTCATATATCTAAAATCATCAGAGTGAAACATTGTTCAGACTCCACAAGTTACATTTAAACGTCAGATCACCGAAGTTGTCTTCTGCCCAGAGAGGCTTTGAGAGCTATGGTTTATTTACTTTCTGTAATCTAACAGCTTCAAACTGATCAACTCAGACGAAGCCACAAAATTGTGAAGCAGTATGGGTCACTTTTCAAGAATTCCTGCATATGCACGAATGCTATCAGTGTTTTGTCGTCTTTCTTTCTCTGTTAGGTGTCAGAGTTTGGACTTGCACAGGTGCCATCTTTAAGCTCTGAGCGGAAAAATACTTCTGACAAGTGGACAGCTCCAGAGGCAATCAGGCGGGGGGTACGGCGTACTTTTCGATTAATTGCCCAAGTAGCACAGTTTAAAGAATAACGAAAGATACATTTGTTCTGAATCAATAATTCTGTTGTTGTTTTTGTTGTTATTTTATTTTTTGCTTGCAATAATTTATAATGTTTTATATAGATGGATATCTTTTCGTCCGTCACGGAGAAAAGTTTCATGCTATCGGACGCTAGGTCGCACATATCAATTATCCTTTTGAAGATCTTGCTATTTAAACAAAGCGCGCATATCATAACTGGAAACCAGGTATCAGCGAATAGTTAATCCAGATTTGTTGGTTTTGGTTTTATCTGCAGGAAATTTCCTCCCAGTCCGATGTATGGAGTTATGGCGTCTTATTATGGGTGCTTTTTTCGTTTGGTGAAAATCCGTATTCCGACCTGGTTAGTGTTGAGTTTGATCAATAGATATGATCACCTTCAAAGGTCATTATGCTTTCTCGTAGTTGGTAACGTTAAAACTTTTGATTTCGAATCGTGTAGTTTGTTTTCATTTGCATTTCAATTGACGTTACAAAACCCCAATATTACGAAACAGGAAAGAAAATCTAAGTCATTCTTGTAAGTTCAAAGCTCAAAGCTCAAAGTCCAAACAGTTCAAAGAAATAGACAAATGGAAGGTTTATTGTTTTTTTTTTTTTTTTATGGATTTATTTAGAAAAGTAAAAATTGGAATGCAAGTGGTTAGCAATGGTTGCTTGAAGGTTATTTCCATGGGAGTTCAAATTAAGTTAATTGGGTTCTTGTTTAAGCCCGCAGACCAATTAGTCGACAAGATCGAAAAAGCGGGTATCGAATGGAATGTCCTATAGGATGTAATGCCGTCATCTATGGTATGATGAGCAACTGCTGGGATATTGATCTAATGGAACGTCCGAATTTCAAAGAGATTTGTGAATTGTTGGCCAAATTTTTTTTCGGTACGTAATCTCATTTAGTATAATTGTGCCATAGATATTCCCATGAAACTGAAATCTCTTTTGCAATGTAAAAACTTTCCGCACAAGCATCAGATATATTTTTTTTTTTTTCTTTAGCAGTCTGGCAGTGATAACTAAATCACTTTTTTAGATTTATTGAGCGTATTCATCACTTCATCATTGCTTTCTTCAGATCACGGTGTCAAGTTTGATGTTTTGTACCCCATTTGCCGCTTAGTGGTTCCGAGTTCATTATAGCTATGTTACCAATACATTTGATCAATGAACTTTTTTTTCATTCCAATAATTTTCAGGTATTTGCCAGTGTTTTACCATAATAAGTTAAAGTAACATTGTAACTTGAATAAGGTAAGGCTTATCGTTTTTTTGAAATGTGCGTTAATCCAAAGTTATACATACAAATAGACGAGGTGCCTCGAGAGATTCGTGCACGAGGAAGTTTGGCTTTAAGGGCCTACAAAAAGGCCCTGTCAGAGGGGAGGACATGTATCAAACGCGTGCCAATCATGTTAATTGGACAGGACCGCTCCGGAAAAACCAGCTTAGCGAAATCTCTCAAAGGAGAGCGATTCAACTCGGAGGAGGACAGCACCATAGGCATAGACGTTGATCCTTCTCATTTCAAAGTGTCAACTGAGATTTGGAAACCAGGAGAGAAAGACCAACGAAAAAAATTTGAGAAGGCATGTTCTTATGAGCATCATGCAGCGCGCTTGATCGTCCAAACTTTGAGTGAGGAAGAAAGCGCTCTCGAAGAAGAGAGTCTAGAATCTGATCTGATTGAACACCTTGTGCCGGTGGAGTCAGTCGAGATAGGCGAGCGCGAAGATATCATTTCATCATCATGCACGAGATGAGAATATGGTAGATAGCTGTTCACAATTTGAAGGGGACATATATCCCATACCTGCAGCTTCAGTAGCAACTAACACAATCAGCCATGACTCCGTTTCCTACTCTGAGGGTGAGAACTTTACCTGGGGTTCGGATTTCATCTCTGTGTCACGCGATCAAACAATCAGCAATCAAAGCCCTACTGGCGATATCCGAACTGTGCCAGATGATGTTGCAAGTTTAGTTGAAGTTTTTCTTGCGAGATGATAATGACTTAGAACGCGAAGAGGATATATATTCCGTTTTGTGGGATTTTGGCGGACAGACAGTTTACTATAATACCCACCCACTCTTCCTTACGTCGAGGGCAATATACATTTTGGTGAATGACCTCAGCCGGCACCTGCACGATAAAGCAAAATCAGTTATGAAGCAAGGAATGTTCACGAAATTACAGGACAGCTTTCGTTTGAAAACAAATGCCGATTATCTTGATTTTTGGATGTCATCTGTTGCATCTCTCGCCATTCAGGACAAAAGTAACTCTAAAAAGATGAAATCTGACTTGTTGCCTGAACTTCCACCGGTGTTTTTAGTTTGCACTCACGCTGACAAACCTTGTGATGGAGGAGATCCTCGTGAGCTTGGCAGGATGGTATTTGGTTACCTACAGACCAAACCTTACAAGATCCACCTACATGATGTCTTTGTTGTGGATAATACCAAGTCTGGCCATGAACTGGAATGTCCAGAAGTCTTGCGCCTGCGCCAGGAAATTCGTGCCGTCGCCAAGGAGCTACCTCACATGAAGGAAGCAGTTCCAATCAAGTGGCTTAAGTTTGAAAAAGAAATACAAGCCAAGAAAGATGAGGGTAACAAGTGGATTTCCCTTGAAGAGACAAAAGAAGTTGCTTGGGAGGTGTGTAACGTTTCTGACGAAGAAGAATTTAGAACTTTACTAAATTTTTTGCATGATCAAAGAGTTTTAATACACTTTGATGACACTCTAGAGCTGAGTAAAATGGTAGTCTTGGACACTCAGTGGTTGATCAATGTTTTTAAGGAGGTTATTACCATTCGGCCATTTGACAGCAAGGAAAAAAAATTCAAGGAGCTCTGGTTTAAGCTTGAAAAGGAAGGAGTCTTGGAGGAACCTCTTTTAGAACATGTTTGGGGTCCTTTATATCGCAAAGAGGATACTTGCCAAAGTCTCATTGCTATCATGGAGAAGTTCAGTTTACTTTGCTCTTGGCCTTCTTCGGATGGCTCACGTGGTAAGCAGTACCTAGTGCCTTCCATGTTAATGTCACACCCACCCGAGGAAATAATGGAGCTGATTGCATCTGCAGAAATTCCTTCTCTTTTTCTTAAATTTGAGACTGGACAAGTTCCACCTGGCTTGTTTCCCCGATTGGTGCTGCAGGTTTTACAGTGGTGCAAACAAGAATGTGCCAGCCCAGAGCAACCTCAGCTATACCACAATTTTGTCAGAATTTATCGTTCTGAAGAAGTTAATTGCTCCGTAATCCTTCTGTGCCATATGTCATCAATTGAAGTCGTTGTTCATAGAGGCAATGGCGGTGACGAGGTGGCACAACCTTCTAAGTCTGCGATTAGTTCGCCTGTAAATAGTAACCATGACCCCTTTGCTTGTGCAGTACTGAGGGAACTCGAATTTATGCTTGAGTCCATGCGAAGGGAATTCTGTTGGCTACAGAATATGAAATATGAAGTGAGTTTCTTGTGCCCTGTTTGTTGTCAAGGAGGTGTCGTCAGCTACTGCCGCACACATCTTTCAAAAGGCTGCAAGCAAGAAGAATGCTTGCACTTCTGGCCCGAGTCAGAGTTGTGCAGCGGAAAGAAGATCATAGGTTGCACCAGATCTGCAGTTGCTAAGACGAACAGAGTGTTGGTGAAAGACTTCGAGCCTTGGTTTTCTCCTATGAGAAATCAGGTAAATAATTGTAGATAACATGTGACCGTTTTCGGAGGTGACTTCCTTTTTGTAAAGATTAACAGAAAACTTGGAAACGTTGTATTTGTCATCAAAAGATGAGATGAGACCACGAACGCTTACTGAAAGCAGCAGAAGTCGGGTCCATAGAGATGATAAAGGCACTTGTGGTTGGGTTCAGTTGTAACTGTTAAGAGATCTGAAATATGCTATGTTTCCTTAAAGTAAGCCAAGTAATCACCCTATCACACTTGCCTAAGGTAACTATTGTAATGAATATCAAGCAAAATGTTTCTCATTAAACGTACAACAGTTCAGAAATGTTGCATTTCCATGATGGTGTTTAATTCTCCTTCTTTCTTTCCAACAGCTGACTATTGATAAATGTAATGGTGGAAACTTAGCGTCAGTTGAAGGTAACATTACTGTATAAGTTTTTTGGTGGTTCTCTCTAGATAACGGAAAGAAAAAAAAATTCATTTTGTTTGAAAAATACATTTCATTTGACGTACCAGAAGAAGCAAATAGTGCATGGCTAAGAAATTGTCATCTTTTATTTGTTTTAAGACGATGAGGAAACTTTTTCTGCTGACGAGGTTCTACATATCCGTTTAACACAGCAGCGAGATAACCAAACTATTTCGCCGCAATTAAAGGGGAGTCTGCGGCTGGAGGGAGCCTGTCCTGATACCCCGGACTTTGAGTCCACAAGTGGTGAAATGTTGCCTAATCTGGGTAAAACTACCGGTGACTGCATCTCATACTTCCCCTTTGGGATTTTTTTTTTTATATGAATATAACAGCTAAAAATATTCGCTATTTTATTCAAGCATAATAATAATAAATGATATGGAAAGGTTCTGAGCTATATTCGTGTAACTTTGCTGGTATCGTCTTGGGATATTGTGTAATTACTAATGTGCTGGAAATCTCCGCAGCAGTCATCAATAATTTCCGAAGAACGTATGCTGTGAAAACTTCTATTTTAATTATCAATGATTTATGACTGGTCTTTTCCTTTTGTTTTTTCTAAGCAACGACCGAAATTTGCCTACCTGATGATGTTGAACAAACCCTCCTGTCAGCGTCGTGCGACGCCAAAGAGATTGTTCATCAACTGAAGGAGAACCTGCAATTAAACAAAGACGTTTTTGAGAGGCCAGACCATGACACTAAGAAAATAATCCGTAGTCTGGCACAGAAAGCAAAAGATTTAAAGAGGCTTGATGTCTTCGAACATTTAAGAGAGATTGCACCGGCTGGAACTGCTGGTTAGTTACTTATCTCGCGAAACCTATCTTGCCATGAAACTATGGGATACGTGAGAGTGCTGCAGAAATCAAATAAAAATCACGAAGAAAACATAAACTCTTACAAATTTTTTATTTGAAGCGGATGTTTGACCTGACGAACTACATTTTTTGATGTCTCTTTATTATGCGTTAGCAGACTTACCAGCCGTGTCCCAAAGAAAGACTGACCAGTAGTGGGTTCAAGGTGTTTGTTTGCGCTAAAACAAATTTTCATGTATATTTCTGATGACTTTTCAACTATTTATCTTCCTATATTAACAAAAGGTTTCTTTTTCCATTATTAGGTCCTTTACTTCCTGAAAACCTTCCTGTTCAAGACATTCCAATCATTAAAGCGAGGGACCTTACAATCCGCTTATCTGGTAAGCTTTGCTATTTATTTCACAAATAGTTTTGGAAGAAATTTCTTGCAAGCACAACTATATTTTAATTCATGTGTATTTTTAATTTGAAATGTCAGTTCTGAAATTAAATTCCAAGTTAACAATTCTCTTTATAATAGACTACATTGAAAATCTATTATCTATCTTCAAAGGTTGTTTATCATAATTATTCAAAGACGGACACAGTTAGTGCGTAATTTTGCTCACTTTAACTGGGTGCCATTTCACTCGCTGCCGTGCCTTTCCGCTAACTTAAACTGCGTATTGTTCTTGTTGACACGTCCCTTTATTTTTGTCGTGCTCTTTCTACAAAGGAAAAATTTTTTAAGAAGTCTTGCCATCGGATACGCCGCTCTGAAGCCACCACGCACTACGTATTGTTTAGGGTGCCAGTTTACCTTGCCCGTGCATTCAACTGATCAGTTCTTATTTCGAGTGGAAGGCCACATTTCGTTGAAAAAATACATTATTTCATGCAATATCTAATTCTTGACATATTCAGAATATTGTTATAGGAACATAAAAAGAATCAAGCAAACAAACAAATAAATTAAAAAAACCCCTTTCATTTAGGTGGCGATGAGTGGAAGGAGCTTGCTGAAGGACTTGGACTGACTCCACCAGAGATTCGTTTTCTTGACAAGCGTACACTGAACCCAATGGAAGCAGCTTTATCTTTTATTGCCAAACAGCGCCTCTTAAGCGTGGGTGAGCTGTACGAATTGTTGAATGAACGTGATTTTCCCATGTTGGCCGATCTTTTATAAGAAGATTGTCTGACCTCGGCATATTGTTGATTTTAGGTAACGGTCAATCTGAGTTCTTCAAGGACCCGATATGCTTGAATGTTTGGGATTATATCTTTTGTTTTGCCAAAAAAGTAAAAAAAAGAAAAAAAAAACTAGGGAGATACAGAACCCTTCATTATTATGCTGAGGTTCCGCTAAAAGGCTTTAGAACCGATATACTTGGTAATGTTAGGGACTCTAGCTTTATGTACTATACTTTTAAGGAGTTTTTCGTTCGGTTCTATGCCATGTCTGTTAGACATAGGGCTGCCAACCATTTGCCCATTGCTATTCGGTCATCGTTAGTCGTACGCGAGATTAACAAAATTGAACCACCGCAAAGCGGGACTCCGCTTTGTTTCTTACAGATATGATCATAGACCGAATTAGACGACACTAGGTCTTGTTACCAATTAATCCCAACCATTGCAATTTCCGAGAAAAATAAAGTAGAATAATTGAAAGAGGGGCTTGTTATTCTAATCTTGAAACACATTACCTCAAGGAGAGGAACACTGAAAAGCTCTAAACACAGCGTCTCCAGCTTGGGATGGTAAGCCATTGGCATGGTTATTCGAATCAATTCAGTGATTAATGGATTCATTTGAGTATATCGATTTGATCGATCACACTGTCCAAGTACAACTCTGCAGATTTATTGGTAAGAAATATAGGAGTTCATCCCCCAATCACATTCGAAGAAATTGTAATGGTGATAATTTATGATATAAGAAAAACTTGCTTCAGGCGTTTTATAGAATACTTGATATGGTATGATTTGGGTAGTGTTTGATAAAGGACTGGTATATCCATTTAAGTAGAATGACATAGTGGAGATGGAGTATCACTGCTTTAAGAATTTCTGATTCATTTTTGTTGGCTATAAAGTTAATGAATTGAAATTCCTCGAATGATATACCCATGAAAGGACCTAGAAGCTTCAATGCGAAATATACTTCTTTGAAAAGTTATTGAGTCGATGAAATTTAGATTCTTACCTCCTAGTATTTCAATACAATTAATATCTGATTATTTTGATGTTTGAAATGTAGAGGTAAACTAATATTTTGTATATTGGAGGTACTCACCTTAGTTCCAAAAACTACATGAAGCGCGAAATTCGAAAAGAGTAATGTTGTTCTCTGAGGCAATGAATGAAGGAATGAAGCCACTGACAGATTTTTAATTAAGTAACATTTGCGTTTCAATGGTGGCACTCAGTTCTCAAAATCATGATTAAATAAGCACTTGCCATCGGTCACAGCGGTTTACGTTTTAAAACAAACCAAGGCTTGGTTGATCTTCCAGAGAAAGAAATAATTCATCTCTTGCCTATTTGAAGAAAGCTTTTAAGATATTAAGCATATTTTAAATGAAGAAGACTTTTCGATATAGTTTGCCAGAAATAAACTTTTTGGAGTGTTTATCATTTGTGCTGTTGACTTGTTTTGGTGTGATCGCAATTATTTCCCCCCGCAAAGAATCCCTTCAAACTATATCTGAACGCTAGAGGCCGTCTAATTTTAAGGGGTTTCCAACACAGCTCGCATACTCACTATCAGTAAAGGCGGCTGGTGTGTGTCGTGCCTCTTATTCCTATCATGCCGAGAGAAGGAATCATCAGGAGCTTTTGTGAAAACTCCTTTCCGTAACTACGTCAAACCCAAAGAGAAGCTAGATGGCCACGAGACCACTGTATATCACAAAGATCTTTAGACCGTGCTGCTTGGGCGAGAGCCCAACTTGCAAATGTTGAAAGGGGGATTGATACACAAATGAATACAATGGCAATTGGAAATGTCCAAGGAAATAGAGCAATATTACCTCATATCGTGGATGCCGTGTTGTGGAGTACAAAAGTAGCAAATTGCTTTGCGCGGGCACCGAGATGATCAAGTGCAGTTTGCAGAACAACAAACATCGAATGAAGGTAATTTCATCGCTATCCATCGTCTCCTGGCAGATAGCAACCCTTTGCTCAAAGAACATCTCATTTCGTAACCAGAAAATGCGCGCTACAAAAGCAAAACTGTCCAAAATGAAGTGATACGAATTATTGCAGACACGATTGGAAAGTATTTTCGAAAATGTCTTGAAAAGAATCCACATTTCGCATTAATTGCCGACGAAACGTCGTCTCAGGGACGAGACGTGTTATCCGTGTTATCGTCTACTGCAATCCAAAACAGTTTACAAAAGCATGCGATTGACATTACAAATTGCCGTGGACAAGCATATGACACTAATGCGTCAATGAGCTTAGATAAAAAGGGAGCTCAAGCTGAAATAGCGAGGTGTGCACCCGATGCAAAGTATCTAGGTTGTTGCCTTCATTCGATCAACCTCGTTATCTGCCACGCTTGTAAAATAAAGTCAACTCAGAACATGATGGATTCTTTCCATGAATTATTCAGTTTCTTTGATAACTCCCCAAAGCGACAGAAATTCTTATCGATCGTAATTGACACCCTTTCCCCGGAGAATAAGAAGCACAGGCCAAAAGATTTGTGCAAGACGAGATGGATCGAGAGGCACTCCACGTCTGAAGCAATTTTCGAATTGTATGAATACATTGTCATTACGCTGAATGAGAGATGTGTACCCACAAATGATGACAAGCGGTTTTATCCAAACAACCCAATGGATGCCAAAACTAAGATAATGGCAAATGGACTGAGACATAGTATGAGATGCTTCGGACATATTGTCGGCTTTATTTGGGCTAAGGAGATGCTAGAACCGATACGGCCACTCGTCACGGCTCCGCAAGGCAGACATGTAGAAGTATTTTTTAGTTTCCAGAAAATTGAAGAAGTGATCAGTTCCTATACAGGCAGAGATAAGCAAAGTGATCTACTCTTGGTTTTAACGTATGTACGTGAAAGCTGTTTCGTAGTACAACTGGTGGGATCGATTGAAGGACGTCCACGTGTTTACAGCAGACAAAGACATCGTGAAAACTAACCAGCAGAGTCAGATGCACAATACTGGAAGCGAACAGTAGCAATATCCTTCCTTGACGTCATTTGCTCGGGGCTCAAAAGTCGCTTCAGCAGCGAAAAGAGGACACATTACGAGCTATGCACTCTAATTCCTCGGGTCATCGTTTCAAGATCTGAAGAAACCACGGTGGAACGTGGTCAAATACTAATAAGAAGTGGAGCCATCTGATACCATTGTCATCATCTTTTAAAAGTGAACTGTTTCGCTGGATGAACTACTGGAACTGTGTCAGGCAGCGTTGGATTACGAATCCATGTCGGTGTCGGCACTGCTTTCGAAACACGCAGACAACATCTTCTTCCCAAACGTGAGGGAACTTCTCATAATTCTAGCTGTTTCGCCCATGGAGAGCACGGAGGCGGAAAGGTCGTTCTCTTCTATTCGGAGGATCCATACTTGGCTTCGCAGCACAATGACCTCCGAACAACTCTCAGATTTGGCTGTCATCGCCATTAATGCAAACACAGTTACCATCGATAAAAGGCTGGTTTATGACAAATTATATATGGCATGGGATCCTCAACGGATGACTACGCATTCACTTTTGGCCGAGTAACAAGTTTTTTACAAGAGTTTTATTTGTACTTCAATTTTGTGTTCTGCTTAGTGGTCTCATGTACTGCCATTTTGGCTACGCGAATGTAAGGCAGTAATGTTTACAATTATTTCTGCTACTTGGTGGCGTTATAAGAGTTTGCGACGTTGCAGGTTCCTGTTCGTCCTTCCTCAATAGCCCTCATGTATGTTTACGTCACAAGAGCAAGTTTCACCACCAAGCCTTGTTTGTGAACAAAATCCTTTTCATTTGTTCCTAAGTATTCTTCTTAAATTTACTGCCTTGGAAATTTTATTAATTTCAAACTATGCAAATTTGCAATTTCAAAACGAGGCTTGGTAGTGAAATTTGCTCGTCTGACGTAAACATGCATAAGGTCTACTGCAACGTTTTGGGGTTGCCGTTGTAAAAATTTAAACTTAACATTTCATTTGGTGGCCGATTGATATTAGCCACCCCCTTTGAAAAAAATCATGGATCTGCCCCTAATGCGAAAAAAACTTTGCACCTTGACAGAATTATTGCGCAATTTTGCAACTTTGTGTCATGGAAGACACAAGACGTATTTTAAGACTGGGCTCCACAGGTAGACCAGTGATTAAAATTCTTATTCCACTTCACTGCGTATAATTGCTATTTTCATCTGTCTCAAGCGAAAACGATAATTCATTGCTTCGCCTATTTCACTATGAAGATGAGGCCCTGGGAATTGCTCAATTGTCAACGTTGGGTAAGTTTGAACTGATAGGAAAATACTCAAATCTTTCAACGTTGTTTTTCGATTCCCGTGGAAACATAGATGAACAACGTCATGAAAGCCTCGTCTTGTGGACTGACTGTAATTATCTTTGATAGTATCCATACCGTTAGTAATTTTTAGTTTGGAAAAACTTCCGCCAGGGCGGAAGTGTTTGAGTTGCATGTAGCAGAGAAGTGTGCGATAGATTGATCGCGAGAATGTGGTAGAGTTAATCACAGACATCGGAATATTAATAGCCACCCTGGCTTACCTTATCAAAGATTCGGTATGTAATAGAATGCAAAGGACTTCGCAAAATATTTGGGTGAACGAATGCAATGGTACGTACCATTTACTAAACCTTCGATTAGACTCGTTTGTTTATACTTCTTAAACTAAGACCAGTTTTTCCTTTCTTAAGCTCGTTAAACCGTTTTACTAGAGAGTTTTCAAAACTTACCCAAAGAATTTGAATTACAATCGGGCACCAATTTGTCAGCACTGAAAGGAAAGAAACAAAGCAATGAAGAATTTGCATGAAAACACTCAAGCGACACTAAATGAATGACGAGATACAAAAGCAACATGGACAAGCCACGTCTCATAAAACAGAAAAATACACCCTACAAAAGTTAATTTACCAAAGAACTGTATGTCCAGTGGCATTATGGGTAAAAAACACGGAACGTTCTTTACTGGAAATATATTAGTCCAATAAGTTTTGAAAGATGTACGCATTTGCATTCTCTCGCTTGCTAATTAATCTACCAGAAAACTTCGAAATAGATAACTCGCTAAAATGGGTTCCCTTCAACGCAATAACAGTAACAAGCAATGCACCGTGAGCGGTCGTAAATATTCCCATACGAACTCTTATAATTTTTCCATGATTGTTATTTCGTAAGATGGTCATCTAACAGCTGGAGCGTGGCACCACCTGTGGTTTGCCTTGTGAATATGTATAAATATGAAAATATTACTCATTCCAAAGATGTTGCGATATTGGCCTTATCGGAAGTTGATTCTTTGTTACTTCTTGATTGTCACATTCGTGTTATTTTCTGAACACGTAGACTTTTTATCGGTGCGCGAAAATGTGAATAGTTTAAGAACGTTTCTTACTCTTGAAACGAAGCTGGTCATCATTCCATCGATTTAATCACTTCATTTCCACTCCGCTTCCGAATTTAATGCTCTGAGTGTGCATGTTACCGCAATTCAGTTTCGGTCATCTAGAATCTTCACTGTTACTAATATCATATACTAACATTTATATCAGATATACTAAAGTTTTTAGAAAACTCGCTCAGTAATTTCTGACAGTTTCAACCAATGAATGCGAACTACTGAAGGCTATAAGGTTTTAGTTGATGGGTTTGAAGGTTTGCTTTGCCAGTGTAACTGAACACTGAAAAGGCGTTTCTGATCCATCCTCTCTAACAGAGTAAACTCTTTGATTGAAAAGCTTTTTTCTTAATTTCCGCGTTCTTCAGGCGAGCGAAGACAAGCACGATGGGTGCTCAAAGGGTTACCCGCAGTCGACGGGTAGCATAACGCATTGCCAAGAAGTGTTCGCATTTTTACGCAGGGTAAATCCTAAATATATTCTGCGAGAGTTAGATTCGAAAAATTTGAGAGCGAGTTACTTACAAGTTGCTGAGCTCATCTTTTCCAACAAAAAACAATAATAGCAAAGCAAAAAAAAGTTACGGGAAAGTCAGCAACCTCTGAAGCAATAAGGAGCAATAAGGAAGAGGACCAAAATTGTCGATGGCTGCAAAAATTAATTAGCGGTGGTCTTGCAGTGCCGATCAAAGTATTTCTCAACAAGCACAAGGTTCTGAAATATGTTAAAAGTATATGCAATCATTTGGGAATAAGATCGAATTTTTATAAATTTTGCTGTAAGCTTATAAACTCTGCTCAGAGGATAGGTCTTGCTTGCCAGGCAAGAGAATTATTAAACGACTGCTACAGCCTTAAAACCATTGAGTCCCAACGTGAAGCATTTCATTACATTTTATTTCTTTCGGATTTTACGCATCCACAATCCACGAAGAGAAGAAAAAATCCCACCGAAGAAATCGTTGCAAAAATGTATTTTCGTCCCTTCAGCTTTACACAAAGGTCACTTGGTGAGCTCTCAGCCAACGAAAAAATAGGTCCGCAATGCGTACATGTGTGGCTTACGAAATTGAGCTGCTTTTTAGTGTCTGGTGTCTCACTGGGTTTTTATTAGAAGAGCTAATATCTGATTACCATTAGATAGTTTTCAATATTAATCCTGTTTATTAATAACACAAGATAACTAGCATACAAAAGTCCTGAAATGTTCATTCTGAAGATGAGAGTTATTGGCCAAACTTTGTTATGAAGGTCTCATTTTGACAACAAAAGTTGCACATGTAACCCGAGGATTTAAGGAACTGAAAAAACCTCAGCATAATCTCCCATAGTGGTCTGATAGATTCTGTCATGATTATTTTTACGTAACGAAGTGGAATTGACTTCTGAAATGTGTAGGTTCATCGTCTTTTCCAAGGCAAATGATGTGAAATGAACTCTAGGGAAGAATTTCATATGAATATTTTTGACATTTTGTGTACCAGTACACAAGGACAAAACTTTGGAGAAGGGCAGGGACATTCGGGAAATGATGTAATCTACACTAGAAGCCATTGGGAGCTTGATTTGGTTTGAATGTATGACTAATTTTGGATAATACATACATGTAAAGTAACACAATGCTGGGTGTAGGTTTCTTTTGTCCATTAAGGCATAAAGTTCAACTTTCAGTTGGTTGAGAGCAAAACATTTATTATAATTATTGTATTTTGGTTTTGTGGGACTGTATTTTCAATAAAGAACACAGAAAAATTTAGTTCAGGTTATGAGGTTGCAAATGGAAGAGTCTAGGGAAAAAGATAGGTGCATTACAAGATCAGAACACAAGCAATATTTTAATGAATCATATGCTGAGTTAAGTACTCTGAAGTAACATTACATTAACGTTGCTAATAATTTTTAACCCAATAAGATTTACAATTTGACCTGGAGATTTTATTTAACAGAAAGTTCAATAGAGATAGAGTGTTGCCATAATAGATTTCAGGAACAGTAATCAGAGGCATAACTTAAACACAGAAGGTGCAATGTACAGGCAAGTGCATGATGGTATCATATGATCTAAACTACCGCAAGCTTTCAAGTTTTCTTATTATTGAAGTTGTAATTTCATGCCAGTGAGTCTACCAAATTCAAGTTATGTGGAGAAATGAATGGGTGAACTTGACATAATCATGCAAATGGTCGACTTAACATCATCATGCAAAGTGCTAATCTACCGTACAAAAAGGTCCAAAACAAACATGGTAAGCAACTGAACTTCATGTATCACTTTGTGTTAGAGCACACAAGAGGACTTGAGAGACTTGCTTCACTCTCATTTGCTTCACTCTCATTTTCCAGAAAAAGATTGAACTTCTGGTACCAATCAAAATTCAGAATGACTGTGACAGTTTGGAACTGATCTGTTGAGACTGTGGTTTTAAGGGGTCTACAGATGTGATTAGAACCCTGGGTCTCCGAGGATACCTGATGGTTATCTAATCCACATCAAATAGCTCTTACTTTTAACTATAAACGTAACAAATGTCAGTTCCATTGAACTGTCTTCATAAAAACTTGGCAAAGTTTAAGCTAAGTTAATTAAAGTGTACTTAGGTATTCTAAATAAGCAGAAGTAAATTTTTCACAAATAACAAATGTTGAGCTCATAGCGTGTGTGCAGTTTAAAGTATTTGAAAAATTTACAGGTGCTCATCATATGAGAAATCATGTTATTAATTATTCATAACGTATACATGAAAAATA